TATGTGGTCTGTGAGGTAGGTACGTGTGTTGTGTATGGGGTATGTGAGGTGGGTATGTATGTTGTGTGTGGTGGGTATGGGGTATGTGTGTGTGGTGTACGTGAGGTGAGCATAGCATGTGTGTAGTGTGTGAGAGGTGGGTATGATGTGTGTGGTGTGTATGGGGCATGTATGTGGTGTGTGTGAAATAGGCATGGTATGTGTGTGGTACATATACATACACACACACATGCGTACCTGTGCGCTGCAGATGACAGGCAGGCCGGCAGCCCGGGACACGCAGCGGTGACCAGCTCAGCCAAGGCAGGGCTCGGGGCAGGAGTGGCCAGGCCCCTGGCAGCTCAGGATCCTAGATGCACTAAGAGCCTAGGAGGAGAGAACAAGCTGTGTCACCATCTCCACCCAAGTTCATCATTAACATGAACCTCTAAGAAGCACTGAAACTGTTCCACTTCTGATTAGAACCAGAAACACTCCAGATGGGCTCGGCACAGCCAAGGGGCGGGGAACTGTCCTCAATGTTCTCCTTCATCGTCTGCAGCCATATCTACCACCAGCAGCCTTGCCAGGCAGTGCGTGCCTTCTGGAAGGGGCCTGGCCCAAAGGCAGGTCCCCCCCCCACCCCGCTCCCCCACCCTCGCCCCGTGCCCCCAACCCTGTGCCTGCAGCCCAGGAACAACGGGTTGTGGGGTCTTTTAATTGAAAGGTTTTTCTCTCTGGGCCTTATTACAAAGGAAAAGGGAAGGGAGCAAAGATCCAGGCTCAGGTTCTTCAGGGACAGCGAACCCAGAGGCGACCTCAATCCAGTTGCCGCCCAGCCAGCGCCAAGGGAGGATGGAGGAACGCACCAGCCACCAGCGGCCTATCCAGCCGGGCGGCAGGACCCGAGTGCCCCCCAACCCCCAGACAGAGCCTCTAGCCGGCAGCAGGTGGCCATTCGCTGCCAGGCTCCCCCACCCAACCCACGGATGCGGTATCCGCCGCCTAGTCCTCGCTGCACGCTCCCTCCACCGGTCGTGGGAGCAGGAAGTGGCCCGTAAGAGAGGAGTGGGGCCGCTGGCCCGCTCCCCTAGACCCCAGCAACAACCGTCCCGCAGCTCCGCCGAGTACACAAGGCAGCGCTCCGGGCCACTGGGGCCGCAACCTCCGGCCGCCTCCCACGCGTCCGGGTGCCTGCAGCGCCGCGGGAGACCCCAGGCTGCCACCGCCTGCGAGTCAGGCAGCCCGAGCCCCCCAGCTTACCTGGCCAGGGTGCGGGGCTGCTGCAGCTCGCTGCCGTCCCGCGGAGACGCCCCCGCTTCGTCAGCGAGGCTGCGCGGAGCCGCACAAACCTTCTGCAGCGGAGTCGCCGCAGGCGCGTCCCGGAAGCGGCGTACGGCAAGCGCGCAGGGCCGCCTCTACCCGGCGCACGCGCACTGACCTGAACCTGCGAGACGCGCGTCCCCCAACGGATGGCTTCGCCTCACCCTCTCCTGGGTCGCTGTGGCGACAAGGCGCGGCGGGAAGAGATGGAATATGAAGATGCCTCGGAGCCTGGCGTGCACGAGGCCCTGGCCCCTGGCCCCCGGCGCTGGGACAGTGGGCACGGCGGGCGGGTGCACCCGAAGCGGATGCGCCGGGCTGGTGTCCCTGACGCGGCTGGAGCTCAGACGCTGGAAGGCGTAGAGCCCTCAAACGCCCTGGGCCCTGGGGAGCATGCAGATTCCCGAGGCACGTCCTGGCCCTGCTGGCTGGGTAGCTGCAGGGGTCTAGTCCTGCGAGTAGAGCCGGTGAACACGAGGCTCCCACCGTGCCAAGGCCGCCGCACTACGCCCTGCTCACCTGACCCCCACCATCACCGCAGCCGTAAGAGGCTACCCTAGACCAAGGAACCCGCGGGGCTCGCAGCCTCAGAAAACCCCATCCGGCAGGAGAGGCTCCCTGCTGCCTCCCCACCGCAGCTACCCTAGACCCGTGCAAGGCGTCAAGTGTTCCCTACCGGTCCTCTCTAAGCACCCCGGCACCCCATTTCCTGGGGATAGACTGGCTTCCGTGGTACTCAAGCAGCTGGCCTCTGGGGGAGGGGCCCCAGGTATGAGAGGCAGGGCTCAAAATCTAGGCCCAACCTTCACAGGAACCCCCTCTGGAGAGCCCAGGGCAGTCCCGGATGCACAGCAGGCAGCAGGTGCACTAGGAGCATGCTTGACAAGGCACCCAATATTGCATCTGCGCAGAGAGGCAGCCCGCTGGAAAGTGGATGCAGTAGCCTGGGTGGCGGTGCTCCCCGCAGCCAGGAGTCCAGCCCAGTACCCACCCAGTCCGCCTCAGTCCTGCTCAGTTGAGTCATCCCCGCTCTGGGCCCTCTGGTCGCAGCCACAGAAAGAAGGCTTTGGGGCAACCGGGTGAGCTGGCCCTTGCGGGAGGATGTAACCGACTCCTGAGCCTGGACAGCCAGGCAGCCCCTCGACAGTAGCCCCACTCTCCAGCCCCTTCATTCCCCAATCCTCCCACCTGCTCCCCTGCCCCGGCACGTGCCTCTGCTGACTCTCATCTCTTTTTCTGCTCCCAGGCTCTCTGCTCACATGTCCTTGACTCTCCTCTGAGTCTCCCTCTTTCCAAGTCGCCTCCTCTCTACCTGACACATTCCCCCGAAGGCACCAGAGTACACAAGCTCAAGCCCCTGCACCTCACCTTTACTCCCAGACACGGGAGGGAGATGACATGAAGACCCAAACGCCGCTTGGCAAAAGATCTGGAGTATGCAGAGGGGCAGATCTGAGGCTGTGGAAGCTCTGGGGGTTCCCTGCAGGAGGCTGCATTTAAGCTGGTTCTTGAATGTGGCTCTGAGCTGAGACCTCTCCCTTGAGCTCCAGACCAGGAGCCAGCTGCCAGTGGGACCCCTCCATTTGGTGTCTTAAAGGAAGTTGCACTCTGGTGGTCTAACTCTGAACCCAGAAAATCCCCCCATCTCAGCCCTATTTCTTCTTAGTGAAATCACCATCGCATACCCAGTTCTGCACCAAACCCACATTTGAGAATGGGGGCTCCTGCCCTGCCTACCCTGCACTGTGAGCACTCTGGATGAGCCAGTGCCCAGGAGGAAAGAGCTCTGAATGCCAAGCCAACACATGTGAGGCTTAACTCCACCTCCAGCTCCCAGAGCTGTGGGTAGTGAAGGGCCCTAAACCAGTTTGCTAAAAGACCAGCCTGCCACTGTATGGTACATGGATGGCAGGGGCAGAGTATGGATTGAGAGACCAGAAGGTGGGCAGGGCTGGGGAGGTAGGGACATGGCTGTAGCGGTGGAGATGGGAGGACAGAGAGGACTCAAATGAACCAAGGAAGGGGTCAGGACGAGACACTCAGTATTGTACCAGATGTGTAGAGCGTGGCATGCCATTCATTGCTCAAGGAAAGAGAAGGAGAAAGAGCTATGGCATGGGAGGTTAGAGGTGAGCTGTTTCTTAAATGTCATTTGAAGTCTCCAGGGAGAGCCAGGCCTGCCAGTACCTTCACTGCTCCAGCCAGCCCTCAGGGCACCTGTGCTACCTGGCCCTCTGGGCTCTCCCTTCGTAGCTGTCAGCTGCAGTGGGGACAATTGCAGGTGACAGCTATGAAGAGCCTACAGGTAACCTTACAGGCAGTCCCCTGGAAAAATAGAAACAGGTCTGTTTTTCCAGGGGACCAATACGTGACCAAAGCCAAGAAGCTGATGGACAGCCTTCTGAACAAAACCTATTACCACCACCTGACCTTCCCAGCCACCAGCTCCTCACAGCTCATCTCAATCGAGATGGAGCTCTCCCTGGCCCAGCACATCAGCGTGGTAGGTGCAGAGGGCAGCAGTGGCTGACTCAGGTGAAGGGGCAGCTCATACCCAAGCCCTAAGCAATCATTGTCCAGAGGAATGAAATGACCAGAGTTGACTTAGACTTACCGATACATGGCAAGGAGATGGCAGGACAGTCCATGAAGCTTGTAGGTATCCAATATTTAATGAAGTCATGGTTTTGTTAACAAAGAAGAAATGAGGGTGGGAGCGGGATGGCCACTGGGTGGGCAGCCAATTGGCCTGCACAGACTCCGCTCAGCTGAGTCTCCAGAATGACCATCAGCTCCTCCTCATCATCCTCACAGCCCCACCTTATGCTGTCCTCCAGCTTGCTCAACAGGTGACCTTACAGGCTCCCAACTTGTCGGGGAAAAAGACTGGGGGAACCAATGGATACAGGCACCCAGGTGTAGGGGCAGGACCAGAGGCAATGCGGCGCCTACTGAGACAGGTAGGTGAGGGTCTGGACAGTGGGCGTGCCTGCTGCAGGCATGAAAAGGACTTGCAGATGGCGGCACTCCCAGGGACCAATGTCAGGGTCTCCATATGTGGATATGTGCAGAGGTGGGGGTGCTGAGGGAGGAGCTGTAGGGAATTTCTCTTCTCTCTACTGACTGAGTTGGAGATGTCAGAGGGAACCATGGCCCGTTGTCAACTAATGCAATGTCCCCACCCACAGGGTTAGAACCCCACCCCTGGAAGCAGTTCTGACGGGAGTATTGATATGGAGAGAGTGCAGGATCTGTGTCCAGAAGGGAGAAGGAGGTCACCAAGGAGGCTGACCCTGCTCTGGCCAGGTGGCTGCCTTCTGACACACCAGCCTCTCTGTAGCACAGTGGGCCCATACACACCCAGCCTGTCAAACTACAGCCCTCAAGAAGGCTTTGGCCAAATTAATGAGCAGCTCCCTCTCCCAGAAGGAAGCACAGCTGAAGTTTGGGGTGGGCAGTAGAGCTGTGTACACTCAGCTCCCTCCCTCCACAGTCAGACAGGAAGGAAGGGGGCCTTCAGCCAGGCTCACCCAGCTCGGGGTCTGAGTGTCAGTGTCTAGCCAAGGGCTTCTGGTTTAAGGAGGGAGCCCAGCTGCTGCCATGCTGCTGCCACCCTAGTGAGGGTGAAGGAGCAGGAGGCTCCGCTGCACTTCCAGGCTCAGGCTGCCTGGCCAGATCAGGTCTGTGGGCCCTGTAGGCTGGTAGAAGCCATCAGGAGGAGGAGGGGATGCAGCCGCCAGGCCCCACCCCTGCGAGTCGAGTTGCATTTCTGAAAGCTTGGGTATACAGTGAGTATTAGGCTGCGGGCTGCTGGGCCAGGAAGGAGTGTTTGCTTTTCAGGGGTTATCTACTGAATTGTTGAAGGAGAATTATAGGTACAACCAGCTTAGAGATGGACATTTTGAGACAGCAGGCAGAAATGGAATTTAGTGCAGGGGAAGGAAGCAGGCTTGTGAAAGCAGCCTTTTGGGGAGGCCAGAGTCCTGTGTCAATGACCTCAGCACGTTCAGCAGCTACTGGGGGAGCGCAGGACAGGATTGAAGCGCAGGAGAACTTTCTGGATGATAGAAATATTCTATATCTTGAAAGGAGGTGGGCTATATGATTAATGCATTTGTCAAAACTGATCAAAATGTACACTTCAGATCAAGGCATTTCACCGAATATAAATTTTATCTTAAAAACATTTTTTAAAAGACAGATGGGCCGCATGCAGTGGTGCACACCTGGAATCCCAGCCCTTTAGGAGGCTGAGGCAGGTAGATCACCTGAGAAGCTCGAGACCAGCCTGGCCAGCATGGTGAAATCCCGTCTCTACTGAAAATGCAACATTAGCCAGGCATGGTGGCACATGCCTGTAATCCCAGCTACTTGGGAGGCTGAGGCAGAACTGCTTGAACTCCAGGAGGCAGAGGTTACGGTGAGCTGAGATCACAACACTGCACTTGAGCCTGGGCCGAGGCTCCATCTCAAAAACAAAAGACACATGAAGGTTTTCAACTTTCATTAAAGGCAGAGTAGCTGGTTATCGATTAGCCTCCCCACAAGAACAGTTAGAAAAACTGGACAAAACTGTGCCTCCCCCGCACCCAAAAACAATTGTTGGAAGGTAATTGGAGACCTCGGCCAGGACTTGAGTGGCCAGGCCTAGAAGGTGACCCCGACAGTCTGTAGGGGGTTTCCCCACATTTGATGATTGGTAAACAGCATAGGGTTAAGGGGCTAAGAAACTGACTATGAAGGGATAGTTGAGGCTGGAAAGCCGAGCTGAATGTCTGGCACTCTCACAGGCCTGAAATGACATCATGAGAATTTGGGCCCCAGTAAAGAGATGAGACCTAGGTGGGGACACTGGAAGGGCCACCCCTAGGAGTCCAAATAAAGAGACCAGCTGACACAAAACCTAAAACCTGCTTTGAACCAGCTTAGTCCCAAACTAGATGACGGTGATCTGCCCTTACTCCGACTGCTTGCCATAAAGTCAAAGTAAATACTCTCTGGAGGCAGATACGAGTTTACTAGGCATGCCATCAGACCAGACTAAAGGAGAAAGGCCAAGAGAGAAAAAAGACAATGGAAACATACATAGATATGAGAGTCCTCAGGTAGAAACTTTAAAATAACTTTTATTATCATAGTAAATTTTAACTATTTTACCATTATTATTATTATTATTTTTTTTTGAGACAATCTCTGTCGCCTAGGCTGAAGTGCAGTGGCGCGATCCCAGCTCATTTCAACCTCAGCCTTCAGGGTTCAAGCAATTCTCCTGCCTCAGGGATCCCCCAACCTCAGCCTCCCAAAGTGCTGGGATTACAGGCATGAGCCACCACACCCGGCTGGTATTTTACAACAACTTAAATAATTTTTTTTTCTTTTCAGGTTGGTGCTTGGAGCATATTTACAGTCCCATGGTGGCTTATAAATCTCTGGGCCTTGGTGACAGTGCCC